ATCTTTGGCACACAAGCTGCCCCATTTCTGACGCTCATTTAGTCACACATCTTTTTCAATGATGTTTCTGTGTGGATCTTTCAGCGCTGGTTTTAGAGACACAGCTCACCCTGGCTTCAGGAAAGATGGAGGAAGATCAGCAGGTCTAACGGGGCGGACGGCTCACGGGAGATGCTGATTTCACAGCTACCTGTCTCGGTGATCCTTCCAGCAGTCAGCGTCAGTCTAGGCCACATCCAAGCTGAAGAGGCTGCAGAGACCCTGATCCCTCCCTGCCTGCACACACGTTAAGCCAGAGCGCTCGCAGGCTCTGCCTATCGTAGGGACTTCCTCGCAGCCCATCCCACACCGCTGATAGGGAAAAAAACCTCTTTCACCATCGTGTCTTGCCTTCCCCAGATAAATACCCTACAGTGACAAGGAAAGGAAGCCACGGACAAAATTAAGATCCAGGACACAAATACGCATCATCTGTGGACAAGAAGGACAACGTGCTCCACAGGACTAGAGCAAATGGGAAGGCACCGGTGCATGAGTGTGTGACCTGGCCTTCACCTGCAGCGCGAAGCTGAGTTGCATTGCACGCTCGCGTGGGCACACATAAAGGATGTGAAAGAGACTGGCACCTGCCTGCTGTCCCGCTGTGTCCTCCTCACCCCGTGTCAGTGAGCAGCTGCTGCCCGTACTGCCGCACCGTCATTTCAGCCCCGCCGCGGCCAGCTCTGGTGGTCCCCCCGGGGGAGGCTGCAGTAGACGAAGGGCTGTGCACCCTTGCACACGTGTACAAGAAATGAGAGGGATTGTGCTTGTGTCATTTTGAAGGTCTACCACCATTCACGGTCCAACGTTTTGCAAACACTTGGTCTAGCAGCTCTGGTCCTTAGAGCAACAACTTGTAAAAACTCGAGCACGCAGATTGCTCAGGCTCTCCCCTGGTGTAAAAGACTTCCCGCAACAATATCCTAAGAGCCAGCGTGCTGCGCTTTCCTTCAGGCTGGCTGCAGAAGCTGCAGCTCTGGGTTTCTCTTTGGCCAACTCGCGCAGCCAGGAGAGTCTATCCAAAGGGTGCGTTGTGCCCACATTGCCTTGTGGCTACCACACGCAGCACGCCTAACTATAGCCACGGAAGGATGCTGTCAAACGTCGGGCTCCAGCTGGTCCTCTCTAGCCACAGGAAGAGGTGCTTCAAACTAAGAACTGAAGGCAGGAAGGAAGGAGGAGTTGTTAGAGAGCTTGGCCTCCCACCACAACTGCAAACTTCCATTTTCACTTCCAAAACATGACATGCTCTTGCTTGGAAGCAAGAGTTCCTTCTTTAGAGCATCACATGGTTATCTATCCCACAAGCGCCTATCCCCACCAATTCACATGTGTTATCAACAGCCCCATGCCAGAGCACTCTGAGGACGGAGTCACATCAGAAAGACGACGGTAGAAACGTTCACATAGGAGCCGTAACAGACAAAGAAAATCAGCCATTTACAGACCAACTCCTGTCAAATCTCAAAGATACTACTGCAGGCTCAGCTAGTTCCAGGCAATAGCCAAGAGAAGTGCACGCCCTGTGAAAGGGTTTCCCCTGTGCTCAGGGTCTGTGGGCATAGCGGAGCCCTCCTGGCACGGGCCACCAACACCACAACACAGCTTTTATTGCGGAAAGTGAAGCACAAGCATGCTCTGCAAGATGTGCGTTTTCAGCCCTGACTTCTGCATCTCAATAGTTTCTCTTGTTTGTGTTTGGAGATGGAGGATGTAGTGTCTTGTAAACCTTCCCTCTCGGCCTGAGTAGCACAGTCTTTCCAGTTGCCCTGAAGCCAGATACCAGAAAGGGGCATGGGGAGTATCCCATGGAGGTTTGGCTCAAAATTGAGAGTAGGAGTAAACAAGTCCCTATTCTGCCTCCGGGCGTTCGGTCAGAATGGACTGCCCTACCACCACGTTAGTCTGGCATTAAACCACATCCCCCCGTGCTTCCCCAAAAGGGCTATGCAAAATTCATAACCCAGCTAGAGCATCCCAGCACCTTGGGATACAGCAGACCCAGTACCTATCTCAACGTGTAAATCTGTCAAAGTTTCCCCTTCTGGAGCACTGAAATCAGACATAGCATTTCCACTCGTACGTTTGATTTAAACACGTGGCCACCTCAAAAGTTGGTGTGGCTGCTCAGGAAATGAACTCCTCACACAAATACAGCCCCTCATACTGCCCACAACGTGTGTCGGTTACAGGATACCCACAGGCAGAGGGGGGTTACGTAAACTTAAACTCAAACTCTGTGACTCGTGTAGTAAAGGCTTGGGGCAGAGACTGCAAAGCCACCTGCCCACCGTTACTCAGAGGACAGTTTTTGATAGAGGACAAATCCTAAACCTGCCACCTCTCCCTTCGAATCATTCATACCAGCGAAGGATTTGGCTCCCAGCCTGTCACTAAAATTTCCAGCTGGTAAAATCCAGGTCTGAAGTAGCTGGGAAGACCACGGAGTAGCACCTCTCTGTCATCTGCAGAGAAGAACCAACGGAACTTGAAGACAAGACCACAAGAGGCTGGAGCAGGCATCAGGTGCTGCCCTGGGAGGTGGTGCACATTCCCACGGGCACCAAAGGACTTCAAACACCAAGTGCCTTTACAGACATCTCCAGCCAGGATCTAAGGGCGCTTGGTAGCTCAGCAGAAGGCTGCTCCAGGAGGACAGCAGCGTGTATTGAGCGAGGAACCGTTGGGCTCGGTAACGCTGCCCGGGTGATTTACCCACAGGTATCCCAACCTCCACGCTGCCTGCGCAGCGCTAGGAGCAATCGCACGCCCAACGGGTGCTTTCAGGAGCAAAACCTATTCCTGCCCCGTACGCAGCTGGTACAAGTACAATCCCCACCCATCTTGCTGTGAGTTTAGGGCTCAAACTAGCTCTCCCTGAGACAGTCTGGGTTTGTTTTAAAAGCAAGCGTAAAAATCCCTTGCAGGATATGCGCTGCGTTTGTTTCCCCATTCACATTCCAAATATTTGCTCGCTCCAGAAATAACACTAACGTTCAGCGTACTGGTTCCTCAACAGTGCGTTCTGCTTCCAGGCAGTCCTTCAGTCCTTACCCTGCGTAAGGGTCTGGGCAGGCAGCCTGGAGGGGGGACGGGACACAGCACCCCCGGGGCTTTGGGACCCCCCCTCCAGCACGCACAGCCAGACCCCAGGGTGGCTCGGTGGCGGGCAAGACCTCAGCTGCTAGTTTAGTGCCTGGCTTTAGCACACGCTGCACTGAGGACAGGAAGACCAGTCCAAGACCAAAACTGCTGGGGGGGGGGGGAAAGACACAAATTTTGCCTGACAATTCTCAGTTTCCACAGAATGGGAGCAGCAGACCTAGTTTTATCAGGCCAACGTGCGTTTCAACACCCAGTTAAACTCACCTGCGCCAGCAGGAAACTGGCAGCTGGGGCTCTTCCAAGTTGCCCAGAGGATTTACACCCATGTTCTCTTCATTAAAAAAAAAAAAAGGTGTAGCTAAGTCCCTCAAGCTGTTTTGAATGCATCAGCCCCAAAGGTGTGTGAGTTATTATTTGCTGCTGCAGTTTTCAAATTTTCAGAATCAATTCTCTGAATCAAACTTACATTTGAATCAGTCTTTTCTACTCAAAGGGTACTCCACAGTTAGGGACATCATAAACACCGAGCCGCACTTTAACCTCAGCCAGAGAGGGCCTCACCTACTCGCCTCAAAAGGTCTAATAGTGGGAGAAATCTCTTTTGAATTCCCTCCATTGACAGAAGTTTCCTGGCCTGTATATTAAAAATGGTTTTGTTCTCATAAAGCAAGTTAAAATTAAATTGCAGGCCCACCTGCCAGACAGTTGGGGCATTAAAAATACATATCACCAGCCAGCACCGAAACTACCCCAGCTGTTGTCTGACTGACAGGCTTCCTCCTGGAGCAGAAAAGTATTTGTTTAGCTGCTTTGCTATGATCCAGCGAAGCAGAACGCACCCAAAAGAAGAGACCAGAGACTGAGAAACTTCTGCAACGCGTGAGAGAACAGCATTGAAATGAGGTTAGTGCAAAAGCCTCGGGATGCTCTTGAGATACAAGGGAATGTAAACTACCAACAGGCTGCGGCCACTGTCATCATCTGAATCCTTGCGGAGTGCTGCAGACCAGCCCGCGCCTCGGAAGGAAGGAAGGAAGGAAAACCCAAGGCATGCTCCGCATTACACTCCGTGGCAAGGAGCCACGGCCACTTGCACAACAATCCCGCTGCATTTAACAACCTCAGACACGGCTTCAGACACAGCCCAGCTCCTGCCCCGTGTTTCCAGCAGACAGGATTGCTTTCTTCACACACGCCCTCGCCTGCCGGCCTGGCAAAGGGACCGTTTATCGCAGTCCTGCTCCAGCAGACCCTTTCACAGGCAGCTGCCCTCGTAGTCCATGCCCCGTATAACCTCCACTACTAGTTATCAGCGCACGGAAGAG